AAACCACCGCCATAACTGCCGCCGCGGCGTTTCTGCTCTTGCTCGTCGGTTGTACCGGTCGCTGTCTCCACCGCATTTAAGGAGGTAATTGTTTTCACCGCCGCGGAGTCACGGAATTCACTCATGTCCTCATCGGAGCAAGCCCTCGTCTCTTTACTCTCTCAGTTTGCTTTATCGTTTGATGGAGCCGTTTTGGGCGCAGCCCTAGCTTATGCTGCTGTTCGTACCGTCCTCAAACTCACTGCTTCTTGCTCCGCTCTCGATGAGCTCCGTAAAGCTCCTTATGTTAGTGTTTCTGATCTTCGCCATATCATTTCCGATGGAGATTCGGGACAATCCGAGTCCGATCATAAGCTTGTTGTAGTTCGTGGCACCGTGGAGGCCAGGTCGTCTGTGGAAGGTAATTGGAAGAGCGTACAGCCTAATGTATTGATTTCTCAGGAGTCCGGAGATAGAGCGGTGATTATTCAGCGTACTCAAATGGTAACTCCTTCCATATTTCTGTTAGACTCTGCGCGACTGTTCTAAGATTTTGTTTCTTTTGGGCTGCCGTTCTTCTCGCGCAGGATAAGTGAAAACTGAGCTATGCAGTTTAGAAAATTGCACGATTAAAATTGATATTCCTCCGCTTGTTAGTAGTTATACTTGCAGATTGTTGTGACAGTATTCGAACAATTTGATAGCTCCACCAAAATTGCCAATTAATCGACTAACTTGTGTATCTTTTAGGATTTTCACATTACAAGGTATCTAATCTAGGTTCTCGGTTCAAGAGATGGTTATGATATGATTCTATTCTGGACGAACAATGAAAGAGACGGATCACCGGGTGAAATGGCTGTTCGATTATGTACATAGGTCTTCTGGCGTCGCGTTGTGTGTGTAAACATACGATATGGGGATTAAGTATTTGGGAAATCCTGAACTCCTTAACCAACATAACTTCATTATGAATTTAATCTTGGGGAAAACAAATTTCTCTTGTACCAGTATTAACTATTGAACCTCATTTGTTCTGCAGGTGTTTGTTTTGCTTCCCTTAGGTTATTCAGTGTGATGGATATGTGTAGATAATATCCAGTTCTATGAACTAAAGCTTTCTTCTTTGTAATATGTGATTGTGTAGTGCATATTCAACGAATGGAAAGGCTTCTTTGGATGGACTTCTGATTTACGTGCAATTTTTGGAAGAACCTTTAGAAAGCAAGAGTCGACATCACTTAGAACGGTAAAGCCTAGTCCTATATCTGTTATTGCTATGATTGATTCGCTCTTTTCATTACACTTGCCAACAAAAGATCTTTGTATTAAATACCTCTTCGGCCTGAATGATATGGAACTTTGTGATTCTTTCTGTGAATAAAGAATAAATTGAAGTTTTGGGGCCATAAAGTTATGTTCTTTCCTGTGGTTCTCTATTGAGTCTTTTTTTTTTTTTTTTTTTTTCTCTCATCGCATTTGCAAGTAGGTTTGTAATGCTGCCTCTTGAAAAATGGTTCCAAACAGAGTAGGCTCAAAGACATACCCATAGTGGAATTTATTGTAGCTAACTTATTGTCTATGAAAACTAAATCTACATGATATGAGATTGATGTGTGGCCGTTTTAATTTGTAAAGTCTTATGTGATGCTGAAATTTGAGAAATTTTTAACAGGTTCCTTTTGTCCTTGTTGATGAGGGCCATTCACCATATTCTGATTTTGTTGTCGTTAACATGGATGGGTCAAGACATCCTTTGCCTCTCACAACTGTGTATCATCAACTACAGCCCGTTTCGGCTACTCCTTATACCTTCCTTCAAGCACTTTTTGGTCATGAGTACCCTGTGAGTTCGGCGATCTTTGTTGAAGTTGAACACCTCTTTTTAATGGATTTTAGCAAAAAATTATTTATCATGTTCTACTTTTGAAGGTTGGAGTGCTTGATGAGGAGAAAATACTTCCATTAGGAAAAAAAATCAGTGCTGTTGGCATATGCAGTTTTAAAAATGGAGTTCCTGTGATAAAGTCATGCAAGGATTTTCCCCATTTTCTGTGAGTTTATCCATTTTGAAGTAGATCATATATGCATATCATATTGATAACAAATGTGTTCTGCCTGCTAGTGGTGGACCACCCCGTTGATTGGGTTTGGGGCTCTGGATGTGAGTTTAACTAGGTTTTAGGATCGAGCCTCCGAGTAGAAAGCTTTTGTTGTCTGTTGGAGCTAAATGGATTTTTGTGTATTTGATGTATGGGTCTCAATGCTATCTCTTTCTCCTCTCCACACACGCGCACACACACGCACATATGTATATATATGGATATATATAGGTTCTCTCGTTCCCTGTTGAAGTGTGGAGATTTTGGTTTATACCTAAATTAATCAAAACACGTATTGTCTTGTCAGTGATGCTAGCTAATTGCTAGTCCCTCCTATCCCACACACCCCCCCAAAGTTTAATAAATAAAACACTGAAAAATTAAAAGAAAAATATGATTCAATTGATTTTGCTTTATGTAATAAACTGAAGCCGTGCTTGATGTGTGACATGTAGTGCTATTTCATCTTTGTTGAATATTGGGAATAGCATCTAATTAGTGACAAACATTATTCCTGTTTGTTCTTCGAGATAATATTCATTGGAATAATGGAAATTATGATGATGTACTCTTCTTTGCAGATGTGAAATGACCAAGGATCAGATGATTTTAGATCTAGTCTTCAAAACAAAATTTCTGTTCTGGAGTAGTGTTGTACTTGGTTCGCTGTCGGTTGGCGTTCTTGGTTATTCTGTTGTGAGGTATTTTTTACTTTCTTAATTTCTTCTTTTATTTTATTTTGCGAGATATCTTGGTGTTGAGGATTCTCTTCAGAAACTGTGCTCAATATCTTGGTTTGATATTTTATTTTGCGAGATATTTTGCGAGATTTTACGAGATATCTTAATATCAACATCCATTCTCTTCTTCAGAAACTGGAATAGATGGAAACAATGGAGGCAACAGAGACGGTTACAGGATTCAGGGAATGATTCCACCATGTCACAACTGGATTCAAACAACATTCCGATTTATGGTGATTTTGGAACTGCATCAGACAACGAGGAAGCAGCCGATCCAGAGGACGAGGTATCATCAAACGTTCCAGATGGACAGTTGTGCGTGATCTGTCTCATGAGAAGAAAGCGCTCTGCTTTCATTCCATGTGGTCATTTTGTTTGCTGCGAACGTTGTGCCATGTCAGTTGAACGCGATTCAGCTCCCAAATGCCCCGTCTGCCGCCAGCAGATCCGTAGTTCTGTGCGGATTTACGATTCATGAGGAGAAACAAACGATCTGTTCAGGTTCTAACCACGACACATCTACATATACACATCTCATTCATCTGGATAGCCCTTTTTTGCTGATACTGTTTGAGATTTCATATCTATGCCAGTCATTCCCGTAGGCAGCAGATCTGGAGTTTGTCTTTTCATATCTATTGTAACAATTTATCCACGTAGTCGGTATTTTGATCACAGAGTTCGTTAAGAGTTTCTAAAGCCAGATTTGAAGTGATATCTCTTGTAAATACCAGATAGTATACTCTTTTACATTGTAACTTGGTGATATATGAGATGAAAAGAAACTTCAATATTGGCTTTGTTATCATTGTTCTCTCCTCTCCTCTTTTATGATTTGTTGTTTTAAAGAACTAGAAGTTGTTTGGATGATTAAGACACAGATATTAGAGTTTTGAATTGTGAGATCCCACGTTGGTTGGAGAGGAAAACGAAACATTGTTTATAAGGGTTTAGAAACCAATCCTACGTTGGTTGGGGAGGAAAACGAAACATTGTTTATAAGGGTTTAGAAACCAATCCCACGTTGGTTGGGAAAAAAAACGAAACATTCTTTATAAGGGTTTAGAAACCAATTCCACGTTGGTTGGGGAGGAGAACGAAACATTCTTTATAAAGGGTCTAGAAACCAATCCCTAACATACGCGTTTTAAAAACATTGGGGAGGAGAATGAAACATTATTTATAAGGGTGTGGAAACCTCTCCCTAGCATACGCGTTAGAAACTTCTCCCTAGCATACGTGTTTCAAAAACCTTGAAAAAAAGCTCGAAGAAAAAGTCTAAAGATGACAATATTTCCTAAACGTGGACTTGCAAATCTTTCCACCTCATATGATGAATTGAAAAAAATGACAATATTTCCTAGGGGTGGACTTGCAAATCTTTCCACCTCATATGATGAATTGAAAAAACTGTGCTCTCAATCGACTTAGTGGCTTCCTTTCTCCAAAGTAAAAAACTTTGATGCATCCAAAAGAAAGGAAGGCTGAAATCAAGAAAGAAAATGGTGTTGCTGAAGGACTCAAATTCAAACACAAACTCATTGGTTAATAAGATCCAAAAGGTTTCTCAATCCTGGGTTTTAAGATCCAAAAGGTTTCTCAATCCAGAGGTGGAGATCCAAAATAGACATATCTACATTCTTATACGTCAAATAATATCAAAAGTGTTGGTTAATATTTTTCACCTAGAGAACTAATTGGATTGTTGCAAGCGTAATGAACGGGGTGCTTTGGAAGCAACAATTTGTTACCGAGCCATATTATTGAGAATAACGAAAACATCTCTAAATACTAATTTCCCCTATCCGAACCAAGTTTGAAAGAAACTAACTTCTTTCCACGATTCCCATTTCAAATGAAGAGTGCAGCACCTGATAACTCAAGGATATGTGATAGAAGTGGAGTGAACTAAATGCACATGGGAAGTGAAAAATCTGCAACTTTTAGAAGGCCAAGGACCAAGATGAAGAGGTTCCATCAAGGCTTTCTGTATCACAAGCCCACCATGAATGGCTTATGGCTTTGTGGCATAGAAGAAAGCCCTGCCATGAAGTTCAAGTCATCTGCATAATTCACCATTGAAGAAATTTTGTGTACCTTACAAGTTGGCCCTTTTCCTCATCTGGAAATTGAACTGTTAACATCTGTAATACTTGAAATCAAAACAGTTAAAAGGGAATCAAAACATTTGTAATCATATCTTCTATTCCATTTGTAATAGTTTTGCTATGATCCTCAACAAACTTCAGACGGTTTGAGATTGTGAAGAGAATCAATATAAACTAAAGATGTCCTCCATGGCAAAACACAACAATAACTTAAGGCCTATACTAATATGACTGCCAAATATTTTGTACAATTAACATTACGCCCGTGTTCCAGATTATGCATCTTCATATTATACAGCCTAAAAAAATTGATTTCATAAGTTGTATCACTAAGAACCATCACACACTACTCCACTCCACACAGAAGTCCAGTTCAGGCCCCTCTTAAATGGCATTCTCTAAATCTCATTTTATTTTTGTATCCCTGAACTGGTAACCAGGGTTGTTCACCAAGTAGTCGAGATTTACAAGCATTAGTTTTTCAAACATAGTTGAGACATTAAAACCTCGTCATTTGCTGCAGCAGCTGTGAACCGGCTGTCTGTGACAATAGTTGTTCTGAACTTGGTGAAGGCCTTGTTAGAGTGTTGGTACCGATGGAGATTCCAACCCCTTGTCGGACCATCTCTTTAGGGGTGTTCATGTTTGTTTCGACACGGGAAGCTTCCTTCAATATGCGTATCTGATGAAATCCCCAGAAGAGAACATTTGAGACAAATGATAAAAGAAGGAATGGACCAAACACTTGAACAGATGAGTCCAACTTACCATGTCCAGACGTTTCTTGTGGACGTCACTTGATGATAACTACAATATTAAAACTCAATAGGGTTAAACAAAAACGGATTTTAGAAAGTTAAAGGCCTCGTTTGATAATGATTTCATTTTTAATTCTGTTTTTGACGCTTGTTTCCTCCAAAATTCTCTGTTGTGGTTTTCACATTTCTTAAACAAACATTTAAGTTTTTAGTTAAATTCCAAAAACAAAAATAAGTTTTTAAAAAGTACTTTTTTATGTTTTCACAATTTTACTGTTTTTGAAAATATTGGTAGAGAGTGGATAACAAACAAAAGAAATTTATAAGTAAAAGTAGTATTTATAAGCTTAATTTTCAAAAATCAAATCATCATCAAATGAGGCCTAAATTTAATAAAATGCTTGTTTTGAGAGATTATGATAATTTTCTTACACTTTTGTTCTGGTTCTTCCGCTCGTCACTTGAATATCCAGGAATGTTCAACTGCCAATTCTTCTCTGCACATCATCCAGAATTTATGGTTAGTATAGATTTGTCTAATACTATAAGATCAATACCATTACTACCAAACATGATGAATAAAGAAACTTGTAACCTAGTGCCCTCTAGGTTGAATTATCACAAATGATGAAAACTTGAACTGTTCATAACAATTAAATTAACGGAGCCTCACCATATCCCACCCCCACTCTCTTTAGGGAGGCATATGCTGCTGATGCATGCCAGTTAATAAATCAAGTAGAGAAAAGACAAGGTAGTACACACCTAAGTGTAGCAAGAGATCTTTGGATTCTAAAGTTGAGGACTTTCGATGTTTAGCCAAATTGCATGAAAAGGTAGTAACCTGTATAGCAACAAAAAAAGAAAGGGAAAAAAACTTAGTTTTTACATAATAGACCATCGAATCATACTGAAATGATCATAGCTGATGAACGAGCCATGAAATTAACATGAATTATTAGGTACTGCTATATAAATAATATTGCAATAGAAGAAACATAATAATTAATCCACACTACTCTGAAAATCGTCCCCACCAAAAGGACCCTGACGCCAGTTAACTTGATTTGTTTGTAACATGAACATGTTATGGTATGGGGCAATGAGAAAATAGCTTTCAATAAGAACATGTAGACTTTAAAAGGACCTAAAAGTGTCCACATCAGCGTCTTAGTGGCAAAGTATTTAATTTTTTAATGTTCTTGTGAGAGCTGGTTCACAGGTTTTTGTTGGCAAGAAAGAAGGGAGAATAATAAGAACAAGGGAGTGTAGTAGTATACTTCTACTAAACTGATAAATGACAGAGAAATAGACCGATCAGTCCAAAAGAAGGTATACACCACTCTATGCACCCATGGGCGATCACACTATTGAAAAGAAAAAAATCCCTGAAATAGGGCCCTAAAAAGTTAATCAGGAGAAGAGGCATAGCAATTTATCATCATTACAAAACATAACAAGCCACGGCTTATAAAAATATAATCACATGATTGAGGAGGAGCTCTCGTTCTTGACTTTTGGGGCTGTTATGGGTCGTAACAGAGGATTTTGTTCTATGATTGAAGAGGTGTTCTTGAACCCTCCTTTTGGGACAAAGGAAGAGTTATGTAGCAGTCTTTTTTTTTTTTTTTTTTTTTTGTCTTATTGTGGAGCATTTGGCTTGAGAGGAACTTTAGAGGGTTTGAGACATCTGATGAGGAACTTTGGGGGTCGATTTTAGGTTTAACTTGTGGCCATCTGTTTAATAAGACCTTTTGTGTTGTCATAAAAAAAAATTTGCTTCATAATGTCAGTCTTCTGGTGATTAATAATGTGTCATAGAATAGCATACTATTTTACGAAAATACTCCAACATTATCCTCTATGACAGTATGCAGTAATTTTTCTTCTTTCAAATGACTTCCTATTGTAAATGTTTTGATATAATCGAACATAGTGCTTCACACTTATTATAGTAAGTGTAAGAAATTGGGTGGAAAGGTACAAAGAAGTATAGGGAAATGGTAACAGTACTAGGAGGTCTCACCGAGTCAATAAAATCATCGGCAATCTCCAAGAGAAGATCTTCAACTTCAGGTTCCAGCTTTCCATGCGGATCTACCTGCAGACATTCAAATTTCAACTAAAGCGAGAACAAAATAAGAAACACAGAAGTGCGTTACAAAGGTAGAGTAGATAAGATATGTGGGAAGTTAAGGCAGAACCTGTGAAACCAGATCTTGTATCTTTCTCTTTCCAAGGACTTGAGTGGCAGCTTCTGTCCCTTGGCTTGAACTTCCCCCAGGTGTACTAGTGCCAGACGCTGTAGCATCTGGATGTGATCCAGTCAAACTGAGAGATTTCTGGCCCACAAGTCCAGCTATCCTAGGAGAATGCTGCTGATGTTGATGCTGATGCAATACTGGTTGCAGAGAATTCTGAGGTGATGGTTGTTGAAGTAGCTGCTGTTGTTGATGAAGGGTCTGCTGTTGTAGCTGCTGTTGTTGTAGCTGCTGTTGTTGTGGTTGCTGTTGTTGTGCCTGTGGTTGCTGCTGTTGCTGTTGATGTCCCATGGACGGCTGTTGCTGTACAAGCTGAGGAAATTGTTGAGAGTTCAAGGACATGGGGTTTTGATGCAATTGATTAGATGAGGCCAATTGCTGCTGTAGCAGAACTTGTTGCCTCTGTTGAAGACGATATGAGGGTGAGCCAGGGGTAGACATTGATGGAATTTGCTTCAACCACTGTTGCTGTTGCAAAGAGTTCTGAATCATGTTTGACTGCCCATTCTGAGCCAAATTAGTCAATTGTTGATTCATAAATGCTAGATTTGACATTCTCGGTAAGTTCTGAACCTGCAGTTTATAAAAATTGTCTTGGTGTCACAATCATGCACGCAATTTTACAGTTACAAGTTTCTACACACAAAACAAAATATCAAGATTGAATAGTAAGATCAGCAAAACAAATTGCCAAAAAACTATCCATTAAAGTAATAAGGTGATACTGCAGTTGCTGATATACAGATTAAGTTAGAGAATATGACGGACATATAAGTAATGATGAAGACAATAAGAGTTATACCATCTACCAAAATGAAAAAAGAGTGTTAATGGGCACCAAATGAAATTAGAGACGTGTACTAATAAACATATTAGTATGCCCTATGGCCATTTTTTGTAGTGCAATGAATGTCTAGCTTGTAATGAATGAATGTTTAGCATACAAAATAAGTTGTGTCAGATAAAAGCCGGAGTACTACACTTCTATTATAGTCAATAAACTAACATCCTTGATTAATTGCATAAATAATACCCAAGCAATCACCAAAGTAACCAAACAAAGCATTAATCTGCCACGGTTCAAATTTGGCCTATCAGCCCATATAGAATCTAACAATACGTATATAGAATTAAAAGCGCAAACCCATTATTGTAATAAAGAACATGGGCACGGGAGCAAAGATGTGCTGTCATGAAACCTGTGGAGACGTGAGTGAGCTTTGTTGTGATAATTGCTGCCTTATTTGGCCTTGGTTTATTCTCTGTTGGGCATATGACGACGCAAGGCCATTGGCTCTTAACTGCGAGGTCAAATTCATTGAACCCATCATCCCCATTGCTTGGATTCCTTGTAAAGCTTGCCCGTGAGAGTTACCCGACTGAAATTGCGCCCCCTGGACTAAACCAGCTTTCTGCTTCGACTATACAAAATGTTCGGTTTCAGTGAAAATCAGAAGCAAAATATATTTAACTTGATTTCTAACGTCAATAAAGTAAGAATTTAGAATTGTAATTGAACAATAAAAGGCAACTATAGACGCTGACCCATCACCAAAATGCCAACGCCATGCCTAGAAAGATCTTCAAATAACAATGTCAAAGTAGCATCAATACCAATTTAAGACCAACGAGTACCAAGAATTCAGTGCATACCGAAGCAAGTAATTGTGACTGCAAGTTATACTGAGCAGCAGCAGCCGCCCCAGACAACATGGGCAAATGGCTACCCTGACCAATTAATGCAGACCGCGACAGATTCCCAGTTCCTATTTGCTGTTGTTGGTTAGGCTGTTGCTGCTGCTGGTTTGTAGAAGACGCACCAAAATTCATCTGACTGTAAAGCGCCGATTGCTGTCTCATCATCCCAAACTGCTGCTGCTGCTGCTGCTGCGGTTGCATTTGGTTCAACCGAGACATCGAAGGTGACCGCTGTAAAGCCTGCTGGATTTGGAAATTCGTCATCGCACTCGCATTCTGAGGTTGTTGCACCAATTGCTGCGAATGTTGCTGTTGTTGTTGCTGCTGTTGTTGCTGCTGTTGTTGCTGCTGTTGTTGCTGCTGCTGCTGCTGTAGAGGCTTCTGCTGGTAGTCCAATCCAACCGCAGGGCTAAGCTGTTGCTGTTGCTGTTGATTTTGCGGGAGAGAGATGTGCGAAAGAGGAGGAGAAGAGATTTGAGATAGCGGATGTAAGTGGTCAATCGAAGGTGATTGAACAAGCGCAGAAGGCGATGGAATGGGAGGATTTACAGAGGAATTTGACGGATTCGATGAATTTTGAGGAACAGCGGTGGTTGAAGGTTGAACTTGCGGTTGATGCTGCGGCGGCGGTGGCGAAGGGTCCATCGGGTTCGTTTGAACTGGTCTAGGAGACGAAGTACTATCCGCCATTGAAATTCAAAGATAAGCAAAGATCAAGAAACTAAATCATGGCAGAAATTGCATCAAAATTTGCAGAGAAAGAAATGAATGCGAAGGGGAGAAGAAAAGAGGAAGGGGGAAGAGAGAGCGGAGGAAGAACGATCAGTAGGATTTGTACACGTCATCTGATGGACCGCTTTACGGTGGGTCATTTTGTGCAAATGGGTTCAGTATACACACGTGGCTTGCTCCTGTACGTACGATTGGAGCGTACGATTGATTCCTGTGAGTACTCCCGTATCTGATCATTGAATTAAATAGTTTTCTAATTAACCTCGGATTCGAGTTTTTTCTTTCGCCATAACTTCTAAGTAATTATGATAATGATATGATTAATTTATAGTTAAATATCACTTTTAATCTTTATTAAGTTATTTAATTCAACTGAGGCACGTACATCTTTCTTCTTCAAGTATCGGGGGTTGTATATCCTTCTCTTTCCTTTTATTTTTCTTCTCGAGCAACACGACAATTGCTCTGCTACAACGTGTCACGTTGGATGATGTGCGATTGACAAAACGACACAAAATAGGTTTACAAACACAACTGTAATGTGAGTTTTTTTTTTTTGTCGAAAATCTATAGTTTTACGATGATAAGACTTGCAAAAAGGGAGTCATACATCGACTCTCACGTTTTCTCCAACATTTCTTAGACAGATTTCTAATCACCTCGTGCTTGTATCTCCAATAAGTATGCGACAACACTAATGGACGATTGATAACGGTTTTATTCTCAAAATTACGATGAAATCTCATATATTATATGAGATGGATTTAACAAGCAACTTTGCCTCGACCCATACCTATAAAATTCGAACCTCCATTATTGACGTGTTTAAATAACTACCAACCATGTTTTTTCCTCCCTCTAGCTCGTCTGTTACATATTGATGTGTTTTGAATATGTCTTACTTGCTACTCATATGACTATCATGTTACCCATAGCCGGTAGAGTTATGAATGGTAAGTTTGAACCTATTCAATAAAGAACTAACATAGCTTCCTATAGATTTAAGATCGAACAAGGAACGATATTTGAATAAATATTAGGTTATAATTTGAATTCATTAACAACATTTAATATGAGGTTTGGATTTAGTTCGGTTAAAGTACTTAAATTTTAAAATTTTATTTTGCTCAATGAACAACTTATCTTATTCCAAATTACTTAATATTCCACGTGGTCAATGTCAATGTCAACATGACCCCAAAATACTTCGAGATGGATTCAACTAAATAGTTGTTTTATTCCATTTTATATACATATATTTTTAATTGGAATCTAAAAAAAAATTAATTTTTTTAGACAAAAAATATATATATCCATATGTTTTTTTTTTCATAGATTTGCAAATATCACGAACATGCATGCAATAACAACTACAACCAGTTTAGGTAAAAAAGACTAAATAATTATACAAACACAATACACAACACGGTAACATGTTCATAACAACTACAACCAGTTTAGGTAAAAAAGACCAAATAATTACACAAACACAACACACAACACGGTAACATGTTCATAACTACTACAACCAGTTTAGATAAAAAAGACCAAATAATTACACAAACACAACACACAACACACAACACGGTAGGTTACAACGGTGGCAAAATCATGAAATTACACGGTACTACCGTAATGGAATTATTTAGAAATCAAGCACTACCGTAATGGAATTATTTAGAAATCGAAAAGAAAAAATGACCCACATCAATTTCAGATTTAGAATTGACAGAGAAATTTTATTTTATTTTTTAATTTAAGAGATTCATGAGAAAAAGAGATATATAGCCACGGTTGATGAGAACAACAAACACCCATATATGGGAAAATAAATATAATAATATTTTCATTAAGATAATATTTTTAGAATTTATATATTTGGATCAATATTATTATGTTTAGAAATGTTTTTATTATTGAGAAAATTTAATTGGATTATCTTTCATGCAGCCCATTAACTTTTGTTGGGCCTATAAGGAAACTGGAGGCCCAATCTTTAGATGTTAAAGCCTTTAATTTGAGGATATTTTCCTCTTTCAGGGTCTCAGCGTTTCCTAGGGTTTTATTCATCTTCAACCTAGAAGTACACGCAGAGTAGCGGTGAACGGCGACATCACCAGCAACCAAACATGGCTACTCAGATGAGCAAAAAGCGAAAGGTAGGTATTGAATTCGTTTCTTCATCTTATGTTCTCCATGAGACACTAATTATTCTGCACATTTTGGTTTGGTTAAGATTTACTTTATTCAATTCGGTGCAGTTTGTGGCTGATGGAGTGTTCTTCGCGGAGCTAAATGAAGTTCTTACCAGAGAGCTTGCAGAGGATGGATACTCCGGAGTGGAGGTTAGGGTTACACCAATGCGGACTGAGATTATCATTAGGGCTACTCGTACACAGAATGTTCTTGGTAAGAAATTTTCTCTTCTAGTATTGATATTTTTGTTATTTGAATCATCGGAATAGGTTTAGGAAGATTGGAATCTGTTTTTGTTTCAGATCAAGCTACCGCTACGAGTGTCTTTTCATTTTCTCTTCTAGTATTGATATTTTTTACCTGCGGATCATCGGCATAGGTTTGGGAAGTTTGGAATCTGTTTTTGTTTCATATCAAGCTGCTACTGCTACGAGTGTTTTTAACCATTATTGGTTGTGCTTCCGTCTATAACTTCCAATTTTGCTTCAAAATTATGAACTGTGTATTCATCTCTAATTGGAATCTCATGTAATTCTTGCGAAGTTGAATTTAGAATTTTAGACATGCGTAAGGAGTTGTGTTGAAGTGTTACCGCTTTGTAATTGGTTACGGCCTCTAATTGGGTTGGATGGCTCTCTACGTTTTAGTACAATGTAAAGTTATGTTCTGTTGTTGGTGCTGGATAGTCGACATAGTTGAATTTTTCTTCTGTAGAGGTTATTGGCGCTGTATGCCTTACTCGAGTTTTGATGGTTAATGTCATTGGAGGATATGGATACATTGAAGTGGATTTAAGTTCTTAGGTCAATAGCTGTTTCATTTTCCTTACACAGGAGTTGGGAGTTTAGATATATCAAACATGTTAGAGTAGTTTAATTTTGGTGTTTTCAGTCGTTGCTTTTGGATCTGGTGTCTGACTATGTATTCAATTGTGTGGCTATAGGTGAGAAAGGTAGGAGAATCAGAGAATTGACATCTGTTGTTCAGAAGCGTTTCAAGTTTCCCGAAAACAGTGTTGAGCTATATGCCGAGAAGGTCAACAACAGAGGACTCTGTGCCATTGCTCAAGCTGAGTCTCTCCGCTACAAGCTTCTCGGAGGCCTTGCTGTGAGAAGGTATAATAGAAATTATGGATGTTTTTGGAAACTTTTAGTCTTAGGTTCGTGCAATATCATAATGATGAAAATTTTCCTGGATACTGATTGTTTGGTTTGGAACTATGTCGTCTTTACACGTTTAACTCCATATTTTGGCAATCACTCCTATTCAGCATTACTTTTTCATTTTTCCAGGGCTTGCTATGGTGTCCTTAGATTTGTCATGGAGAGTGGAGCTAAAGGATGTGAGGTCAGTCCTAACTTCATCTTTATAGAATTTGTTCTTGATGGTTTGGTGGGTTTGTATTACACATCTTTATTAATTAGTAATCTGAATCATGCAGGTTATTGTAAGTGGTAAGCTGAGGGCCCAGCGTGCAAAATCCATGAAATTCAAGGATGGATACATGATTTCGTCTGGACAGCCAGTGAAAGAGTACATCGACTCTGCCGTGAGACACGTTCTCCTTAGACAGGTCAGTTCAGTATTCATCTCAAGACGGCATTCATTATCTTTTCATGAATCATATATGTGGGTGGATTTGTTCTTTAATTGATGCCTCTGTTTCTTTAATTTACAGGGTGTTCTGGGTATCAAGGTCAAGATCATGCTTGATTGGGATCCAAAGGGCAAGCAAGGTCCACCGACACCGCTTCCCGATTTGGTTACTATCCATACTCCCAAGGAGGAAGAGGATTTCATTAGGCCTGTGGCTGTGATTCCGACGGCTGAGATTGAAGTTGAAGCAGCAGCTTAAGAGCCAGCAGACATGAGGGGGGAGCAAGTTGTCTAGTGTTGCTATCATAATATCATTTCTTTCAGAATATGGAATTCTAAGTTTTGATGTCATTTTTCTTCTGTTTTGAGTTTTGATTTTGGGATATTTCTGTTACAAAATATTCAAAGAGGCCGTGGTACTTAACTTTATGTCAGAGCCCCTAGTGTTCTAATGGTAATCTTAACGATGATGCCATTTAGTTGTATAAGTTTGGCCTGTACGGACATAATTTTGGGCTTCTCACGTATTGGGCCTTGGACATAATGACGGGCCCAAAATTGACATTTACAGTAAGGAACACTAAAAGCCTGCGAAGAATGATAAAATGATAAGCACGTGCGAACAAAAACCATCCTTGGTGAATGGAGACAGGAAAGGTCCTGATGAGCATGGAAGATTGTCTGCTATTGTTGAGAAGCAAGAAACTGCTCACTAAATTTCTCCAAGTCTAAATGAGAATCATGGGAATGAACATAGGAGTTTGGGGGATTGTTTAAAGCATCCAGATAATCTTTATTGATTGGGGACAGATGCCTGGATAATCTGTCAATTAGAGAACGTAAATGTTTCAAAGCAACTTTTGGGAGACATACTACTGTTGAAGACAAAATGTGGCTTAAGAGGAGAATTGCCATGGGATTTACCTATTCATGCGACATTCCAGCCACATCTTTCAAAATTAAGGAACGACATTCCAGCCACATCCTTCAAAATTAAGGAGGAACAAATCTCAAAACCTGGAGGGCTGTTTGTTTGTTTATAAGGCAACCTTGATCCTCAGTTCAAGGATCAGTTTACCGGTCCAAACTTTTATTAAAATAAGAACCCTAAAATCAAAGAAATTAACACCTCCTTATCGAATCACCAGGAGATTTGGAACTTTTAAGATTAAAGATTTAGGAGCAAGAGTTGGAACAAAAATTAACACCTCCTTATCAGATCACCAAGAGATTTGGAACTTTTAAGATCAAAGATTCAGAAACAAGATTTGGAACTTTGTTCTAAATTGAGTG